CTCTTTTCCTGTGTGGAGAGGCTGGGTCGACGCCATCAGTCCGCGCCCAGCTATGAGAGGCGGGGCAGGAGCCGCAGGCCGGCAGTAACCTCAATGAGCTTTTCTGCAGCCCGAGCGCCACCCCCGCGTCGATCCTTGCCATTCTTTCCTGATTTACACAATGAGTTGTGTAAATCATGGAACAGACTGAAGAGAAAAAAAGCTGCTCTGCACTGCTGACTGCGTCCCCTCTGCTGGACTACAGCAGCATGACAGAAACTAAGCAGCACGGCTATGGAACGATGCCTCGGGTGGAGGAAGCGCTCTATCTTGCGAGCTATCTTTCTCCCACCCTCGCTTCATTCCTTCAGACGCTGGCGCTTCCCCACCAAGCCGTGTCAGACGACATCCGCATTGGTTGGCGAGGCCTACATGGCAGCGGGTCGAGCTGGTGCAAGCCTGCACACCTTGGCCATCTTGCAGGCGTACCAGGCTGATCTTCCCAAGACTGTGACCTAGGGGGAGGTCCCTCTGAGGAGGACCTGACTGAGCTTCAGCGATGGCTGAAGAGAGACGAGCTCAGCCCTCATCTAGCTCCTACCGCAGGAGCCACAAGTGAAGCTTCGCTTCCCTTAGTCACTCTCAACAAACCTGGGACGCGAGGCGGCGCTCTGCCCCACAGCCCCCCGAGAGGCTGACCAAGGTCCCCTCCATTGTGGCGGCTCAGGCAACAGGCGCTGTTTTTCCCGCCATCTTGGTGTTCCGGAGCGGTCCTCCGCTTCGGGGTGCCACCGGGGACCTACGCATAACACCAAACACCAGCCCCGAGGGGCATACTGAACTACATCGACTTGGCTCAGTCTCGGGAGTTAGCGGTTCGGCATCGAGATGTCCCCGCACACCTTCAGCATTTGGGGCTGCGGCTCAACGCGAAGAAGAGCGTGCTGACGCCTGCCCAACGAACTACGTTCCAAGGGGTGGTGTGGGACTCGACGGCTATGCGTGCCCACCTGTCGCCTGCACGAGTCGGGTCCATTTTGTCCACAGTGAGTGCAGTTAGGCCGCATCATCACTGTAAAACACTTTCAGAGGGTCTCCTGGCATCAGCATCCAGCGTACCTTCTGGCCTGCTGCACAATGAGAGCCCTGCAGTGGGGGTTGAAATCCAAGGGATTCTCCCCTAGGGGAAATCCGCTCGTCTGATAAAGGTTACGAGCAGGTGCCTTCATTCCCTGTCAGTATGAAGGAAATCTTGGTTCCTGTCCCACGGTCCCGGGTTGGGAGCGTCATGTCGCCAAACAATTATTCGACAGACGCCTCACTCACGGGATGGGGCGTGGTCATGGACGGCTGCTTTGCGAGAGGCTCCTGGGAGGAGCATAATTTCTCTTGGCACATAAATTGCCTGGAAATGTTGGCGGTGTTCAGAGCTCTGAGGATCTTTCTGCCCGCCCTCCGCCACATCCTTGTCAGGACCGGCAATATGGCAGTGGTGGCCTATTTGAATCACCAGGAGGGTCTGCGCTCGTGCCCATTATGCAAGCTGGCGCATCACATCCTCCTGTGGTCCCAGCAGAGACTGCTGTCCCTCAGAGCGATGTATATCCCTGGGACCCAGATTCAGGGAGCAGACCTGCTGTTGCGACAGGGGCTGAGGCCCGGGGAATGGAGACTTCACCACGAGGTGGTTGTGCGAAGGTTCGGCCCAGTAGCGGTGGACCTGCTTGCGTCTCAAGAGACTACGTACTGTCCGCTCTGGTTCTCCCTCTCGTGCTAAACAGCTGTGTGACTTTCTACAGAGCAATTGTTTATTTGAGGATTTTCAGTCAGGATTTAGAGTTCATCATAGCACAGAGACAGCACTGGTGAAAATTACGACCTCCTTATTGCATCAGACAGGACAAGGACTTGTCTCTATACTGGTTTTACAAAATCTTAGTACTGCATTTGATACTATTGACCATCAGATCCTATTACAGAGACTGGAACATTTCATTGGCACTAAAGGAACCGCTCTAAGCTGGTTTAAGTCCTATTTATCAGATCGATTTCAGTTTGTACATGTTAACGATGAGTCCTCCATGCATGCCAAAGTTAGTCATGGAGTTCCTCAAGGATCTATCCTCGGACCAATCCTGTTCACATTATATATGCTTCCTTTAGGCAATATTATCAGGAAACTTTCATTTTTATGCAGATGATACTAATCAGTTAGCTAAACTTCAAATGTGCCTTCAGGATGTTAAAACCTGGATGACCTGTCATTTTTTTTATGTTAAACTCAGATAAAACTGAAGTTATTGTTCTGGGGCCCAGCACCATTGAGGAATCTTGGAGTTATCTTTGATCAAGACATGTCGTTTAAGTCTCACATTAAGCAAATTTCAAGGACCACCTTTTTTCACCCACGTAATATTGCGAAAATCAGGAATATCCTGTCTAAAAATGATGCAGAAAAACTAGTCCATTCATTTGTTACTTCTAGGCTGGAAGGCTGAATATCACCTTTACTGTCTGTACCTCTGTGTGTATATTGTGTAGGCTGCCTCCCTCCCCTCTCTCTCCTTTCTTCCATCCCTCTCTCTGTCTCTCTCTCTCTCTCTCTCTCTCCTTCACCCCCAATTGGTCGAGGCAGATGGCCGCCCACCCTGAGCCATGGTTCTGCTCGAGGTTTCTGCCTCTTAAAAGGAAGTTTTTCCTTGCCTCTGTCGCCTAGTATTGGCTCTTGGTGGGAATTGTTGGGCTTTTGTAAATAACATCACAGTGTATGGTCTACACCTGCTCTTTTATGAAAAGCGCTGTGAGATAACTGTTGTTGTGATTTGGCGCTATATAAATAAAATTGAATTGAATTGAACTAAATGTAATCTGCTGCAGCATCAGACTGTGTAGTTATTTATTCAGAGCCCATCCTCATATGCCTTTGAACGCCTTGTGTTGTCCCACCTAACATCCATCACAGACCCACTCCTGGACCCCCTGCAGTTCGCCTACAGAGCCAGCAGGTCTGTAGATGATGCAGTAAACATGGCCTTTCACTACATCCTCCAGCACCAGGACTCCCCAGGAACCTACGCCAAGATCCTGTTTGTGGATTTCGGCTCTGCTTTTAACACCATCATCCCGGGCCTTCGGCAGGACAAGCTGTCCCAGCTGAACGTGCCTGACTCCACCTGCAGGTGGATCACAGACTTCCTGACGGACAGGAAGCAGCACGTGAAGCTGCGAAAACATGTCTCTGATTCCAGGACCATCAGCACCGGTTCCCCTCCAGGCTGCATTCTTTCCCCCCTTCTCTTCTCCCTGTACACCAACAGCTGCACTTCGAGTCTGTCAAGCTCCTGAAGTTTGCGGATGACACCACCCTCATTGGGCTCATCTCTGGTGGAGATGAGTCCGCCTACAGGTGGGAGATCAGCCATCTGGTGACCTGGTGCAGCCAGAACAGTCTGGAGCTCAACACTCTGAAGACCGTGGAGATGGTCGTGGACTTCAGGAAGAGCCCAGCCCCACCCTCCCCCATCATCCTGTGTGACTCCCCAGTCACCACTGTGGACTCCTTCCGCTTCCTGGGCACCATCATCTCCCAGGACCTCAAGTGGGAGCTGAACATCACCTCCCTCACCAAGATGGCCCAGCAGAGGATGTACTTCCTGCGGCAGCTGAAGAAGTTCAGCCTACTAAAGACAATGATGGTGCACTTCTACACCGCCATCATTGAGTCCATCCTCACCTCCTCCATCACCATCTGGTACGCTGCTGCCACTGCCAGGGACAAGGGCAGGCTGCAGCGCATCATTCGCTCTGCTGAGAAGGTGATTGGCTGCAATCTTCCTTCTCTTCATGACCTGTACGCCTCCAGGACTCTGAGGCGAGCAGGAAAGATTGCAGCTGACTCCTCCCACCACCAACACAAACTGTTTCAGACTCTCCCCTCTGGCAGGAGGCTGCGGTCCATCAGGACCAAAACCTCTCGCCACAAAAACAGTTTCTTCCCATCTGCAGCCTCATCAACAAGGCCCAGGTCCCCCACTGACACTCCCCCCTTGCAAATGATACAAATGTCTCTGACCATGTAAATACCGTTTCATTTCATGTCGGGCACAGACCTGGCACGTTGCACATATTTGTTGTTGATTGTTGATCTTTGTTGTTGTATATTTTTATGTTATCAGTTTATATTTTTATATGTACACAATATTCTCATTGCTGCGTTACTTCTGCACAGACCCAGAATAATGCACATGTATTTATCTGCAACGTTGTTCTTCCATTCCATATTTATATATTTCTACATTTATTTATGTTGACTGTATGTTTGTGTACGTGTAGCACTTTATCACCACAGCAATATATATTCATATGGCCACAGGCTGCAGTTTGTTATGAACTCCACTAGAGGGCGTCCTCAGGTGTCAATTATTGTCTACAAACTAGTAGCTCTGGTTTAGTGTTCATATCAGCTGCTCAAACACAACTCAAACCTTAAATAACACCACATTATCTTCCACTGCAGACTGTCTCAGATGTGATGGGGGATTGGAGCTCGTCAGCTCGAGTCACGTCTGAGAACAGCTGATGGTGTTTTTAATCACATGATTTGGTGTCACCATCAAGTGTTTTTCAGCTTTGATACCAATAAAAACAAAATAACTTAATCAGACACAAGAAAAACTTCACTTTACTTTTGTTTATCTAAAAAGAAAAAATACTACTACCCAATTTCAAACTGCTCTTTAGTAATTTGTGCCAGTATGCAACACTTCTTATAGAAACAATGATCAGAATATAAACAGTTTAGAATTTGGCAGCCAGACATTTAAAGAACATGCAAATGCTTCTTATTTCAGAGGACATTGTTTTCTGATGATTTTACAGTGTTGAAGGAACAAAATGCCGTTATTACAACACAGAGGTCCTCTACAGGAAAGGACAGAGAAGGATGAAAATAATTATCAATTGCATAGTGTAAGTAATACGTTAATACTTCTACAATACTGCATATTTTCTTTTATATTCCTTTGTGCTGCTATGTCGACAGAATTTTTTTTTCATAAAATCAATTAGAGTTAACATTTGTGTGTTGTAGTAGAAAGTAGCAACATGACACATCAGATACATACACTCATTTTCTACATTTATAACTTGAAATGTAGAAAATCACATGGTTGTTCTACTCTGATTGACAGGAGAGATGATCAGAGGGGCAGAGTTTGTACCACCAAAGTTAGGACTGGGACTAAAGTATGGGTAGAGTTTCGCAGTGAAGCAGCAGCCAGCAATGGAGTAGATAAGAGCTGCAGTATCAACGTCATAAAAGGAGACCAGACCCTCCTCGTAATCCACAAACACCCCCACCTTCTCAGGCTGAGACTTCAGAAAGAGACGGACTGGAGGGTCAGCAAGAACAGAGTACTCATTTTCATTCCTCAAACATAACCTCCAGTAACCATCCTTAGGACTCATTGTGAATTTTCCCTTCCTGTTGATCGACTCTCTGGCCACTCCTAAATCCCAGTCAGTCTTCCCTTTAACCTGAACCTCGTAGTAAAATCTTCCTGAAGAGAATCTCTGCTTTGCTAAGACACAAGGATAAGGAAAAAATCTCTCTGGGTTGTCTGGGAGATTCTTCTTTACATCACCATGTTTAACTTGTTTTCCATCATTAGACAAGAGGAGCCAAGGCTGTGCTGTATCAGGATCGAGTGTCACATCCACTGCATACTGCTGGACCCTCTTCAGCTCGGCCTCAAGCAGCTTCTTCATCTGTTTACTGAGCGTCTCCTCCAGCTGATTCACAGCTCTCCTCACAGTCCCCTCATATGAAGGTGGACGGACGCTGACTTCTGTCCAGTCCTTGGTGGGTGGAGCAGCGTTCAGGGACGGGAGGCTTTGGAGGAGGTGGAGGTGGTCTTCAGAGCGTGAGAGCTGCTCCACCTCAGAGCTTCTCTTCTTCAGCTCAGAGATTTCCTGTTCCAGCTCTTTGATGAAGCCTTCAGCCTGTTTCTCTGTCTCTCTCTGCTTCTCTTTGATCGTGTCGATGAGCTCGGCCTGGCTTCTCTCAACAGACTCCTTCAGAGCGCTGAAGACCTGAACACCACCTGCTATCTCTCTGTCTGCATCTTCCTTACTGAGCTCCACTGAGCGTTTGATCTCCTGAATCTTCAGTCGTCTCTTCTGGATCATCTGTTGAGTTTCAGCCTCTGTCTTCCCCAGCTCGGCCTTCTTTCCTTCATATTCTTCTTTCAGAGGAACAACATCATGTGTCTTGTGGTCTAAAACAGTGCAGAGCATGCAGACACACATCTGGTCGGTCTTACAGAACAGCTCCAGCAGTTTATCGTGCTTCGTACACATCCTGCCTTCCAGGTTCTCCACAGGGTCAATCAGCTGATGTTTTTTCAGGCCTGCCATTGTCAGATGAGGCTCCAGGTGAGTCACACAGTAGGAGGCCAGACACACCAGGCAGGACTTCAGGGCCTTCAGTTTGGTTCCAGTGCAGACGTCACAGGGAACTTCTCCTGGTTTGGCAGCTTGTTGCTCTGAGCTGCTGCTGCTGGCTTTCTGTTGAGCTGACTGTCTGAACTGAGCAGCCATCTCAGAGATGAAAGTGTTGACCTGCAGCTCAGGTTTTGAGTAGAAAACCTTTTTACAGTTGGGACACTGACACGGTACATTAATATTCCAGTGTTCAGTGATGCAGGTTTTACAGAAGTTGTGTCCACATGGTGTGCTGACTGGATCAGTGAACACATCCAGACAGATGGAGCACAGAAACTGATCTTCAGTCAGCAGACAGCTGGCAGCAGACATATCCACACTCTGAGGACAAGAAGTGAGAAAAAAAATGAACAGTTAAAATCAAGGCCAACTGGACTTTGTTGAAGATACTTGAAGTGTCTTAAAATTTGACCACAAAGCAATTGTGTCCTTTATAGAAACTCATTCTGTAGGTTACATGTGGTGTGAAAAGGTTGAAAAGTGAATTTTACTGTAACGGGAGTTTTGTAGCCCACTGAGCCATAGATACAGGATGTTCTTACATGTGTTGCATTGACCTCTTTTGTTCTGTTGTTTGACTGTTAGAGCATGCTGTAGACTCCAATATAAGAAAAATAAAAATAAAAGTCTCCTGTCACAACAAGGTGCCCTTACAATCCTTCAGTGCTTTCTTCCAAACTAAATTCGCCTTGTGCCAAAAGAATAACTAATCAGACCCAAACCTGAAGGGCAGCAAAACCTCACCTGCAGAGCAGAAAGAGGTAGAGCAGCACTGGAAAAGCACAATAGTTTAAATGTTACATATTCCTAAAAATGAAAGTGAAAGTTAGTCTGAGTGTCAGCAGACCTGCAGTCGAGACAAGTCTTTTTCTCACCAAAAGAAAAGTTAAGCTGACTTAACAACACAGCAGAGTCTCTGTCAAACAAGTACAGCTGATAATGTTTACTGTGTTTCAACATTAACATAAATCTCTGACATCATATCTTTTATCTGTTAAAACAAATGTAAAACAGTCAGATTCTGGTTTGAACTAAACTTTGACCAAATACTGAGTCAGAGCATTTTGGCTTTGTAGGGCCGTGTACTCACCAGGGTTTGGCAGAGATTCTGCTGTTTTGTTGAGAAAAACCTGATGGATTCAGTTGAATGTTTCTTTAGAGAGAAACAGACTTGAATCCACTCAGACAAACTTTCACTTTGATTTGAGGAAATGTGACGTTGCAGCTCTCCTCTTTCACTGTTGCTCATCCCTTCGTTTTCTGTCTATTTTGTTAGATTTCTTTTGTTGAAATAAAACTGGTTTATATTTCTTTGAATCTGATTAATTTTGGTATCAGCACCAAAACTCAGGTATAATATTGGAACTATTATCAAAAATGTTGAAACATTGTTCCTCAGCAGCGAGTGGTCCGTTTTCCTTAATGGTAGTGAACATAACGCCACGGTGAAGTGCAACAGGATGAAATCCCGGAAGGTGCAGCGGCGGCCGGAGTCGTGCCACTCCTACCACGCAAAGGTCAGTGCTTAGTTCTCCGACTGTCAGCAGACATTCAAACAACAATATGAAATGATGAACACATGATGAAGTGAACTGTTAATGATTTTGGACTCAGCGGATGACTAAAACAACAGTGACAGCAGCAGATCACACTGTTTTTCGGTTTTCACTAGAGGATTCAAAAGCGGACACAAGACAGATGTCAGAAACACAAGCAGGTTTATTCCTAAAAGAGCACAAAACAGATGGTTGGGGAGGGAGCGGAGGTTTCCAGAATAAGTGGGGCTTGACTATGGCGTCCTTCAGCTCAGTTCTGGGCAGACTGACTGGTAGGCAGGCAGACAGGCAGGCAAACAGGTAGGCAGGCGGGCAACGTCTCGACACTAAGGTGGTAACTGAGGTAGACAAAAAACAGGATGTTAAGCACAGGTTTCAAAAACAGGATGGTCGTTGATGAACCGGGCGGGAGAAGGAGGTGTGGAAGGAGGGCACAAGGGACTGGGAACCACTGGCTTTAACTGGGAGACATGGAAAGTAGGGTGAATCCTCATGGACTGGGGCAACTGAAGTTTGACAGCTAAAGGGTTAATGACTTTTTTCGATAGCAAAGGGGCCAATAAACCGGGTCACAGTTTTCTGGATTCCACCCTCAGGGGAATATTTTTGGTAGATAACCAAACTTTCTGACCTTGCTTATACTCAGGGGTAGGGAACTCTATGTCGGTCTGCCAGGCGACGGTTGTTCTCCACCGACTTGAGGAGTGCGGCCTGGGTATCCCTCCAGACCTTGCGACAGCGGCGGAGATGGTGCTGGACCAACGGCACAGTGAGGTCACTCTCTTGAGCAGGGAGCACGGGCGGTTGGTAGCCCAGGGAGGCTTTGAACGGTGACAAGCCAGTAGTGGCGCTGGTGAGGGAGTTGTGGGCGTACTCAACCCAAGCCAGGTGGCTGCTCCAAGAATTAGGTTTCTGGGCAGCGATGCACCGGAGGGCCGCCTCCAGATCTTGGTTGGCCCTCTCCGCTTGTCCGTTGGTCTGGAGATGGAAACCTGTTGAGAGGCTAACGGAGAGAGTGGGAAAACTCACTCCACACCTTAGAAATAAACTGCAGGCCTCTGTCAGACCCAATATCCTGAGGAATGGAGGCAGAACACATACTGGACGAGGAGGTCAGCGGTCTCACAGGCTGTGGGCAACTTGGGCAGAGCAATGAAATGGACAGACTTGGAAACAGTCTACAATAGTGAGTATAGTGCCATTACCTTGGGACGGGGGCAGACCGGTCACGTAGTCCAGGGCTATGTGAGACCAGGGTCGGCCAGGCGATGTGACGATTTTCCCCGAGGGCAGACCGTGCAGGCTGACACGATCCTGTGTGTTGGCCTCCATATTGGACCACCAGAAACACTTTTGAGCAGGGACAGGGTTCTCCAGTAGCCAGGGTGACAGGCGAAACGTGAGCTATGGACCCACTGAAGGGGTCCTCAGAGCGGACAGGGTCAGTAACAAACAAACGGTTAGGGTTACCTGGGTTTGGATGGGTTCTTTGAGCCTCCCGTATGACAGATTTGATTTCCCAAGAAATGGCCACCAACACACCACTAGGAGGGAGGATGGTGTCCGGGTCGGGGGCATCCGCAGGTGAGTGGTGCATCCTGGAGAGGGTGTCGGGTTTCATGTTCCTTGAGCCTGGCCTGTAGGTAAGCGTGAAGTTGAATCGGACAAAAAATAACGTGCCTGGTGGGAGTTGAGCCTCTTTGCAGTCTGAATGTAAGCATGGTTTTTATGATCTTTCCAAACAATAAAGGGTTGCTCTGTGCCCTCAAGCCAATGCCGCCACTTCTCTAATGCCAACTTAACCGCTAAGAGTTGCCTATTCCCCACATCATAATTCCTCTCGTGAGAAAAAGGCGCAGGGGTGCATCTTTTGATCAGGGCCAGAACGCTGGGATAACACAGCCCCCACCCCACTGTCTGAAGCATCAACCTCAACGAAGAATTGTTTGGGGGGATCTGGATGGACTAGGATGGGAGCTTATGTGAACAGGGATTTTAACTTGTCAAAGGTCGCTTGGACTTTAGGGGACCAGGAGAAAAGTGACTTAGTTGAGGTCAACTGAGTTGAAGGGCTTGCTATCTTACTGTAGTCTCTGATAAATCTGCGGTAGAAGTTTGCGAATCCCAAAAACTTCAACTAACGCTGAGTTTCTCTCCTCCTGCGGAGCCTGAAGCGGCTGTCTGACATTTCCTCATTCAGACTGTCCATATCAAAGCACATATTGGAACGCAATTATGTTTTTAGAAACATCGAAATTGCGGTTAAATAGGCTATTCGTTTTTGTTTTTTTTACCCAAACATGATCTTGAACGCTTTTATGATCAATCTGTCATCAATGTATGGACAGAGAGTTATCTTTGGACGACATAAATTTATCCTCAGCACAGAATAAAATCTACAAGCTACACTGTCCTTTATAACACAGTGACTTTTTAGACATTAAAGGCCTTTTCACACAGGAAGCGATTTACGCGCCTCGTAATTCATTTTCAATGAGAGGCGAGCACGTCGGAAGGGAGGCATTGTGACAAGCATAGCGACAAGCAGGCGTGTTTCCGTGAAACTGTAACGGTCGTGCTCGTCTCACGCACACACCTTGCCAAAGTTGAATTGACTTGAACTTTTTGTAGCCTACGCAACGTGCAACACAAAAAGAAGATGGATGAGAGACCTCGCCGTCTGTGACTTCCCTGAAATATATTTGTTCAGTGAACAATTACCGGGACATTAACCGGAGGGCGATTGCATGACTAGATTTATCAGCTATTTGAATACGAATAATATATATAACATAGCCTATCAACTAACATTAGCCTACTTATAGTTTTACTTCAAGCTAGGCTATGAAGGAATAGTGTGGCGCACAGAAGCCGTTGCCGTGGTTACTATCTATTGACCGCCTTCCGTTTATTCGCGGAGCGCTTGTCTCGGTGTTCTCATGAGAATCACAGAGCGACCCCGCGGGGCAGCTGTCAGGTTGGCAACAGTTGCACAAAAACACTTACTGTGCGCAACATTGCTGCAGTTTAGCCTACTGTTTAAACTAATCTGATCAATGAACAGTAACCTTTCATATTGTGATTGCACTGTAATTACATTCCTATCGTAGTAATCAACTGGATATGATGTGAATATTTCTGAGTGAGGATGACTGTGGTGCAGCTGAAACAAATGATGTAGTATAAAAGTGAGTTTGTCATTATCTGCTGATAGTCTGAATGTGTTTTGACAGCATTTCATGAAATCCGAAATGAGCAAGATTTTATTAATGTAACATAGACGTCTAAAACTTCACATTCGGTTTGAACCTAGACACATTTTCCACTGCCAAAAAATCATTAATAGGCATAGGCCTACTGAGTCGGACTATCACTTTACAATCACAGGTTCATGAGTAGCCTAAAATATGTCTAATCTGTTTGATTAATATTTGGAGAACTGTAATCCAAAAAGAGAATATGTGCAGATGTTCTGTAAGTGTCCAAGTGTAGAGTGAAGCGTCAGAGCCACCGACTCGTCCACGGTAGGTAAACTGTAAGGGGTTCACCGTTTCTGGAACCACAGAGCTTATGTCGACTCCTCCAGACATTTGGCATACTACATATCTGGCAGGCCTCTGCGATCTGTCAGAAATGTGTCGGGGAAAAGCAAGATATTTTTGTCTTATTTATAAACTGCTCTTCAGTAATTTGTGCCAGTATGCAGCACTTCTTATAGAAACAATGATCAGACAATGAAAAGTTCAGAATTTGGTCCAAACATTTAAGGAACGTGCAAATGCTTATTATTTCTGAGGATTCTGATGATTTGCCATCTTTAACATTTACATTACATTTACTCATTTGGCAGACGCTTTTATCCAAAGCGACTTACATTTGAGGAACAACATACAAGCATCAACAGAGCATCAACTACAGATCTACAACTGAAAATACATACTAGTAAGAGCAGCAATAAATACTAGTAAGAGCTCACAATCTTAAAGGCAGGTAATGCAATTAGAATAAATTAGACGACACTGGATCAAATTAATCACAGCAGTTAATTTGGTGTGTTGTAGTAGTAAGTAGCAACATGACACACCAAAGAAAAACATTACAAAAAAATAACATTTTTATATATATACACAGTACATCCGCAACAAATTAATTGCATAAATGTTGCTATTCAAATGGTTGTTCTACTCAGTGTGATTGACAGGAGAGATGATCAGAGGGGCAGAGTTTTTACCATCATAGTTAGGACTGGGACTAAAGTATGGGTAGAGTTTCGCAGTGAAGCAGCAGCCAGTAATGGAGTAGATAAGAGCTGCAGTATCAACGTCATAAAAAGAGACCAGACCCTCCTCATAATCCACAAACACCCCCACCTTCTCAGGCTGAGACTTCAGAGAGACATGGACTGAAGTGTCAGTACAAGCATTGGCTGCAGGGTCAGTTGTGTACTCATTTTCATTCCTCAAACATAACCTCCAGTAACCATCCTTAGGACTCATTGTGAATTTTCCCTTCCTGTTGATCGACTCTCTGGCCACTCCTAAATCCCAGTCAGTCTTCCCTTTAACCTGAACCTTGTAGTAAAATCTTCCTGAAGAGAATCTCTGCTTTCCTAAGACACAAGGATAAGGAAAAAATCTCTCTGGGTTGTCTGGGAGATTCTTCTTTACATCACCATGTTTAACTTGTTTTTCATCATCAGACAGGATGAGTTCAGGATGTGCTGTATCAGGATCGAGTGTCACATCCACTGCATACTGCTGGACCCTCTTCAGCTCGGCCTCAAGCAGCTTCTTCATCTGTTTACTGAGCGTCTCCTCCAGCTGATTCACAGCTCTCCTCACAGTCCCCTCATATGAAGGTGGACGGACGCTGACTTCTGTCCAGTCCTTGGTGGGTGGAGCAGCGTTCAGGGACAGGAGTCTTTGGAGGAGGTGGAGGTGGTCTTCACAGCGTGAGAGCTGCTCCACCTCAGAGCTTCTCTTCTTCAGCTCAGAGATTTCCTGTTCCAGCTCTTTGATGAAGCCTTCAGCCTGTTTCTCTGTCTCTCTCTGCTTCTCTTTGATCGTGTCGATGAGCTCGGCCTGGCTTCTCTCAACAGACTCCTTCAGAGCGCTGAAGACCTGAACACCACCTGCTATCTCTCTGTCTGCATCTTCCTTACTGAGCTCCACTGAGCGTTTGATCTCCTGAATCTTCAGACGTCTCTTCTGGATCATCTGCTGAGTTTCAGCCTCTGTCTTCCCCAGCTCGGCCTTCTTTCCTTCATATCCTTCTTTCAGAGGAACAACATCATGTGTCTTGTGGTCTGAAACAGTGCAGAGCATGCAGACACACATCTGGTCGGTCTTACAGAACAGCTCCAGCAGTTTATCGTGCTTCGTACACATCCTGCCTTCCAGGTTCTCCACAGGGTCGATCAGCTGATGTCTTTTCAGGCCTGCCATTGTCAGATGAGGCTCCAGGTGAGTCTCACAGTAGGAGGCCAGACACACCAGGCAGGACTTCAGGGCCTTCAGTTTGGTTCCAGTGCAGACGTCACAGGGAACTTCTCCTGGTTTGGCAGCTTGTTGCTCTGAGCTACTGCTGCTGGCTTTCTGTTGAGCTGACTGTCTGAACTGAGCAGCCATCTCAGAGATGAAAGTGTTGACCTGCAGCTCAGGTTTTGTGTTGAAAACCTTTTTACAGTTGGGACACTGACACGGGACATTAATATTCCAGTGTTGAGTGATGCAGGTTTTACAGAAGTTGTGTCCACATGGTGTGCTGACTGGATCAGTGAACACATCCAGACAGATGGAGCACAGAAACTGATCTTCAGTCAGCAGACAGCTGGCAGCAGACATATCCACACTCTGAGGACAAGAAGTGTGAAAAAAAATGAACAGTTAAAATCAAGGCCAACTGGACTTTGTTGAAGATACTTGAACTATCTTAAACTTTGACCAAAGAGTTATTGTGTCCTTTATAGAAACTCATTCTGTAGGTTACATGTGGTGTGAAAAGGTTGAAAAGTGAATTTTACTGTAACGGGAGTTTTGTAGCCCACTGAGCCATAGATACAGGATGTTCTTACATGTGTTGCATTGACCTCTTTTATTCTGTTGTTTGACTGTTAGAGCATGCTGTAGACTCCAATATAAGAAAAATAAAAATAAAAGTCTCCTGTCACAACAAGGTGCCCTTACAATTCTTCAGTGCTTTCTTCCAAACTAAATTCACCTTGTGCCAAAAGAATAACTAATCAGATCCAAACCTGAAGGGCAGCAAAACCTCACCTGCAGAGCAGAAAGAGGTAGAGCAGCACTGGAAAAGCACGACAGTTTAAATGTTACATTCCAAAAAATGAAAGTGAAAGTTAGTCTGAGTGTCAGCAGACCTGCAGTCGAGACAAGTCTGTTTCTCACTAAAAGAAAAGTTAAGCTGACTTAACAACACAGCAGAGTCTTTGTCAAACAAGTACAGCTGATAATGTTTACTGTGTTTCAACATTAACATAAATCTCTGACATCATATCTTTTATCTGTTAAAACAAATGTAAAACAGTCAGATTCTGGTTTGAACTAAACTTTGACCAAATACTGAGTCAGAGCATTTTTGGCTTTGTAGGGCCGTGTACTCACCAGGGTTTGGCAGAGATTCTGCTGTTTTGTTGAGAAAAACCTGATGGATTCAGTTGAATGTTTCTTTAGAGAGAAACAGAGAGACTTGTCTCGACTGCAGCTCTGCTGTTGCTCAGACAAACTTTCACATTCATTTAAGGAAGCGTGACGTTGCAGCTCTCCTCTTTCACTGTTGCTCCTCCCTTTATTCTCTGTCTCTTTTGTTAGATTTTACCCTTTGGGAACTTTGTCTTCTTTTGTTGAAATAAAACTGGTTTATATTTCTTTGAATCAGATTAATCTTGGTATCAGCACCAAAACTCAGGTATAATATTGGAACTATTATCAAAAATATTGAAACATTGTTCCTCAGCATACTGTTTTTCGGTTTTCACTAGAGGATTCAAAAGCGGACACAATACAGATGTCAGAAACACAAGCAGGTTTATTCCTAAAAGAGCACAACGTAAAACAGATGGTTGGGGAGGGAGCGGAGGTTTCCAGACTAAGTTGGGCTTGACTATGGCGTCCTTCAGCTCAGTTCTGGGCAGACTGACTGGTAGGCAGGCAGACAGGTAGGCAGGCGGGCAGCGTCTCAACACTCAGGTGGTAACTGAGGTAGACAAAAAGCACAGGTTTCAAAAACACTCAACAAAATTGTAATTCTAAGAGTAAGCCGGAGCAATTGTACCATGGGAGGTAAACTGACGAACTGGCGAAGAGTGGAAGCTGAACCGGAGTATTAGTAGTATGGGTTGATTGCTTGATGAGCCACAGGTGTGAGTAGGCAGGATGGTCGTTGATGACCCGGGCGGGAGAAGGAGGTGTGGAAGGAGGGCACAAGGGACTGGGAACCACTGGCTTTAACTGGGAGACATGGAAAGTAGGGTGAATCCTCATGGACTGGGGCAACTGAAGTTTGACAGCTAAAGGGTTAATGACTTTTTTCGATAGCAAAGGGGCCAATAAACCGGGTGACATTTTTCTGGATTCCACCCTTAGGGGAATATTTTTGGTAGATAACCAAACTTTCTGACCTTGCTTATACTCAGGGGTAGGGAACTCTATGTCGGTCTGCTAGGCGACGGTTGTTCTCCACCGACTTGAGGAGTGCGGCCCGGGTATCCCTCCAGACCTTGCGACAGCGGCGGAGATGGTGCTGGACCAACGGCACAGTGAGGTCACTCTCTTGAGCAGGGAGCACGGGCGGTTGGTAGCCCAGGGAGGCTTTGAACGGTGACAAGCCAGTAGTGGCGCTGGTGAGGGAGTTGTGGGCGTACTCAACCCAAGCCAGGTGGCTGCTCCAAGAATTAGGTTTCTGGGCAGCGATGCACCGGAGGGCCGCCTCCAGATCTTGGTTAGCCCTCTCCACTTGTCCGTTGGTCTGGAGATGGAAACCTGTTGAAAGGCTAACGGAGAGACTGGGAAAGCTCACTCCACACCTTAGAAATAAACTGCAGGCCTCTGTCAGACCCAATATCCTGAGGAATGGAGGCAGAACACATGCTGGACGAGGAGGTCAGCGGTCTCACAGGCTGTGGGCAACTTGAGCAGAGCAATGAAATGGACAGACTTGGAAAAACAGTCTACAATAGTGAGTATAGTGCCATTACCTTGGGACGGGGGCAGACTGGTCACGTAGACCAAAGCTATGTGAGACCAGGGTCGGCCAGGCGATGTGACGATTTTCCCCGAGGGCAGACCGTGCAGGCTGACACGATCCTGTGTGTTGGCCTCCATATTGGACCACCAGAAACACTTTTGAGCAGGGACAGGGTTCTCCAGTAGCCAGGGTGACAGGCGAAACGTGAGCTATGGACCCACTGCAGGACCTGAGAGCGGACAGGGTCAGTAACAAACAAACGGTTAGGGTTACCTGGGTCTGGATGGGTTCTTTGAGCCTCCCGTATGACAGATTTGATTTCCCAAGAAATGGCCGCCAACACACCACTAGGAGGGAGGATGGTGTCCGGGTCGGGGGCATCCGCAGGTGAGTGGTGCATCCTGGAGAGGGTGTCGGGTTTCATGTTCCTTGAGCCTGGCCTGTAGGTAAGCGTGAAGTTGAATCGGACAAAAAATAAAGCCCAACGTGCCTGGTGGGAGTTGAGCCTCTTTGCGGTCTGAATGTAAGTAGTAATGTTAGCTTACCTGTCCAATAGGATGAAAGCCAACTCTGGGTCTGTTTTTATACCCAAAACAAAGCAGAGGCAGAGCGCATATGCAGGTTTCAGTCACTGGATTTCGCGGAAAATCCGACCGGGAGCCTTCAAATAGGCATAGGAATACTTGCCTTCAGAGTTAATAGCCAAACCCGGCAAGTGGATCATTTTACTGTCAGATTACAATCCCTTCACACACAGGCAATAAAAAAAGGATTCATTTTAGTAGAAAAACTACATATAGTCCCTTTAATTAAAAATGGCTACGGCCCTGAGAGGAATTTCCTGTCTGAGTAGACCTCAGGTTTTTAGTCAATACTGGCAACCAGGGTGCAGTTACTGTGGTTTGGTGTTTACCTTTGTTTTGCAGATTACATGCATTTTTAATGGAAACCAACACAATTCTATGGCATATCTTTTATCTAGTACCGGTCGAGGCAGATGGCCGCCCACCCTGAGCCATGGTTCTGCTCGAGGTTTCTGCCTCTTAAAAGGAAGTTTTTCCTTGCCTCTGTCGCCTAGTGCTTGCTCTTGGTGGGAACTGTTGGGCTTCTGTAAATAGCATCATAGAGTACGGTCTAGACCTGCCCTTTTATGAAAAATGCTGTGAGATAACTGTTGTTGTGATTTGGCGCTATATAAATAAACTTGAATTGAATTGAATTGAATAGTATAAACAGATGTAAAAAACTCAGATTCTGGTTTAAACTAAACTTTGACCAAATACTGAGTCAGAGCATTTTGGCTTTGTAGGGCCGTGTACTCACCAACATGCTAGCATTGTCATTATGAGCATGTTAGCTTGCTAATGTTAGCATTTAGCAAGTGCAGCCTCACAGAGCTACTAGCATGATTGTGGACTATTAAGTATTTCTGAATAAAATACACACCTGCAGCCCCATTTATGGTCAAACCACGAAACCTTCAAGTTTATCAAGGTATTTGTTTTTGATAAGAATTGCAGGGAAAATTCATCCTTAAACAGAATTCTAGAAATTTTTCAGTAAAGTATCTACAGTCAGCTATCCACCAGCGTTCAGGCTCAAATCACAGGATTTAAAAATGTGTGTGTCCGAACCAAGTTCAGCTTCACGACACTGTATTATTAGTTTATTAGTGTAGCTCTGACCCTTTTAAGTGGGTTGTTTTTACTCTGAACATAGTCAACAAAGTTACATTAATTTATATTAGACTCTGCAGTCTACTTACATCTGAAAGACAGAGGACACTCTTTTGAGGACCACCAGGTGCACATTTTAGACAGAGAAGATGGATGGTTTGAAAGAGGTATCAAGGAAGCATCTACACCAGGGTCGAGAAGCCGTCATTGAACAGGGGAGGGGGTCTACGCCACCACTTATCCCCCACTTACAATGCTGTCCTTTCATCTCTTCCCAGGAAACTCAACAAACGTAACCTCTTGGCCTCAGGTGAAGATACCAACGATGGTCATTCAATCTTGGCCACCTGTAGTCCTAACGACTGTAACGACTGTCGTTACAGCAACCGGGAAAACTAACGAACCAGCAGTATCGATGACCCGGGATAACGACCCCACTGAGGTTAAATAGCTGAGTTTCCCTGCCAGTCAGTCAGAACTGAAGAAGTCCTTTGGATGAGGGACGAAACGTCTTCCAGTATCTTCAACCAAGTCCAGTTGCACTTGACTTTAACCTTTGTTGGATAACTATGACCTGGATGACTGAAAATCTTCATAGACATTAATTTATACTCTACACATGTTCTGACTAAGGAATAACTCTTAAATGTATACATTATGCACCTTGCTACAGTTTTGTCTTTCTATTTAGATGTTAAGCTGCATTTCAGTGTTGTGATACTTACTGGCAATAAAACTGAATCTTGATTTAATCTAAAGTTTAGTTTTTAATTTGAGCCACAGTGCTGACACAGGAAATGGGTTTTTGGGCCCAAGACAACAGTAGAAGCATAATCGAATCACGTCTGAGAACAGCAGATGGTGTTTTTTATCCATTGATTTGGTGTCATTAGAAATACCATCAGCTGTTTTTCAGTTTTGATATCAATCAAAAACAAAATAACTTAATCAGACATTATAATAAATTTAATTTAATTTTGTTCATTGAAAAAGAAAAAGACAGAAAAGCAAAATACTTTTGTCTCATTTATGAACTTCTCTTCAGTAATTTGTGCCAGTATGCAACACTTCTTATAGAAACAATGATCAGAAAATTAAAAGTTTAGAATTAGGCACCCAGAAATTTAAGGAACATTTAAATGCCTCTTCTTTCTGAGGACATTGTTTTCTGATGGTTTAACAGTGTTGAAGACAGGTAATGCAGTTATTAAAATTAATTAGATCAAATCAATCAGAGTGGTAAAATTGATGTGTTGTAGTAGCAAGTAGCAACGTGACACAAAGAAAAAACATTTACAGAATAAATCCAAATTGATTAGAATCTGAAAAACAACAATGTATTACATCAGCAACAAATGTACTTGTTACATTAAATGTAGAAAATCAAATGGTTGTTTTGTGATTGACAGGAGAGATGATCAGAGGGGCAGAGTTTTCACCACCATCGTTATTACAAGGACTAAAGAATGGGTAGAGTTTCTCAGTGAAGCAGCAGCCAGTAAAGGAGTAGATAAGAGCTGCAGCATCAACGTCACAAAAGGAGACCAGACCCTCCTCATAATCCACAAACACCCCCACCTTCTCAGGCTGAGACTTCAGAGAGAGACGGACTGGAGGGTCAGTCCAAGCTTTGTACTTATTTTTTATTCCTCAAACATATCGTCCAGTAACCATCCTGAGGACTCGCTGTGATTTGTTGATCGACTCTCTGGCCACTCCTAAATCCCAGCCAGTCTTCCCTTTAACCTGAACCTCATAGTAAAATCTTCCTGAAGAGAAACTCTGCTTTGCTAAGACATAAACACAATAATCAAATCTCTCTGGATTGTCTGGGAGATATTTCTTTATATCACCATGTTTAA